ATGAATCAGCTGCTGGCAAGCACTCCTCCCTCTGGCGCCTCGTGACGGCTGGTTGCAGCTGCAGCGGCATTGCAACCGGCATGAATGCGAACAACGACTGAACGGCTGAGCTCCATACCCGCTTGCATCCTGAGCTCATTGAAGCTGGCAGGCTCAACGCAGTACTTTCCGGGAATTTCTGAGAAGTCGCCGTCCAGTTGCATGGCATCGCATGCTCCCCACAGCTGCATGGCCTTGGAGCCACGCTCATGGCAAGCAAAGCACGTGACACACGTGCCAAGCCGTGAGGTGCCGGCTGCGACTTGGCAACGCAACTCGTTACCATCAGTGTGCTTGGGTCGAGCCTGCCTCATGAGACTGAGACGGGGTCGATCTGCTGCTTGCGGAACTTGCAGAACTTTTGACGAATTTTGCATCAGCTATGGACAAGCTGGGTGGGCCGGCCATCCGCTGTGAAGGATGGGCCATAGCACCAGCGGTGCGTGGTGAGGTCGCAGGTCTCAGGACAGCCTTCGCTCGCCTCAGCGTCGGCGCAGATCTCGCACTGAGCCCGAGCCCATGAAAGCTTGAAACTGTTGCCAAAGTGCCGCCGCGCAGAAGTCCTCGCGCTGGCCGCGGCAGCGAAGAGCATTCTCTCCGCAAGGGCAATCTGCTCCATCAGGAATGCCTCAAGAGGAGATGTCGGAGGCAAGGGCGAAACATTGCGCAATATTGCGCAGCTGGGACGTGACAGTGCACTGCGTGCAACGGCTTGAGACAATGGGGCTGCCGTGGCTTTTCCAGCTGGGTGTCACGTAGTGGAAGAGTTCTGCCATCGTCCTTGCTCATCGAAGTTGTCCTTACTTGCGCTTCAGGCTTCGCTGAGGCGTGGCAGTGGGAAAGCCACAAGCAGACGCAGGCACTGCCTCACCAAGGCGCAACAAGACATTCTTGTCCCCGACATACTTCAGGACAGTCGAACTCCCGAGGGACGCAGAAGGTCCCGGAAGCACCAGCACACCTCAGTTTGTCACGTGGCCATGCCGAGCTGCTTCGCTTTTGAACGCCTATATTTCGCATATGCCTCGCCGTCTCAAATCGTCTCGACGTCTCGTCTCACAAGTCCCAGAGGCTGCTTGGCAGTGCTGTCGCACCAAGGGTCAGGGCAGGGTCCGGAATGGCACTCCTCCACGAGGCGCCTCGGGCTACGAAGAGCGGATTTTCGACAGGATGCCTGGAGCATGTGGCGCCAGGCGGCTGCACGATGTCCTGGCCAAGTTTCTGGAGTAGGACGCTAGCTTTGGGAGACTGTGGAGACTGAAGAATCTGTTGAAACGGCATGCACGACAGACTCAAACGCGACATCACGTTTTCCATGTCACATCTTCGCGAGGCTGCTGGGTAGGTCCCGCACAAACAGCACTCCAGCCTCAAAGTACGTCTTGCTGCAGAGCTGGTCATCTCCACAAGTCTTCAAGCAGGCCGGGAACCGCTCCTGAGCGAGCGCCGTGTGGTTTTTTTATGCTTGAGCAAGCACCGCTGTCACCGTGCGTGCCTTCCACAGGCAGATGTACAGACCCGAATCCTGAAGGCACGGTCGCTCTCGGGCCTTTCCACTGGACATGCTACAGCTGATTCTTCAGAGTTTGAAGGCCATCGGCACAAGCCCTGCACGTCCTGGTCTTGGCATTGGTGCTCGTCGTCTTCGCAGATGCACCCAGCACTGTCGGCACAGCTCTTGTTCCCTCGGTCAAAGCGTCAAGGCTCCAGGATCTGCTGCGAATCCTAATAGTGAAGACCACGGGATCGTTGAGATCGGAATCCCTTCTTCCAGACCAAAGAACCCGAAGCATGATAGCAAATGGGATACTCGCCGCAGTCCAGGGGACCTTAGTTCCAGCATCCCACGTGACGTCATGAGGCATGCCATCTCTCGTTTCTTCTCTTTGGATTCTGAATTAGAGCAGACTGAAGGCTCCTTACCTGCCACGGCCTCCAGCAGCTTCGCTGCAGCCAGGGGACAGTCTTGGGCCTTAGGGTAGCACGCAGATAGGCCCTCACACCTCTTCTCCCAGGTGTCGTCGCAGGGGCAGCCTGCCACACTGCCAAACCGAACGCAAGCCCTGCGTTGCATGAAGTAACGGTCCTGTGGCCGTTGCGTGGCAGCTCTTCTCCGGCAACGTGCTACCATCGACTCGGCCCGTGTCCTTGGGGCCGTAGGCGCTTGCACCGGTACCCGATGCGAAGAGACATGCCGCCACGTCGCGTCGTAGGGGGCTGACCAGCATGGGAGCCTCGAAGCCATAAGGTGAGGATGGCAGAGGGAAGGGGGTGAAGGAGGCCACGCACAAGTTCGCTTCTTGCCACATGGACAACCACAGACGGCCGAATCCGATCGAGGCGCTCCTCAGCGCTGCAGTACCTCAAAGCGATGACCCCATCCCACTTCTGGCACGACTCAGCTCGTCCGACCAATGACAGTAGATGCATCCGGCGTGCACGGGACAGGGCCCGAGATTCTTGGGCTGGCAGAACAACGTTGAGTTGTTGGATTGGCCTGAGCCGTGCAACTGACATGCCAAAGAAAAACCACAGCAATGTTCAAGAACGAAGAACGCCTCTCATGTCATTGCAGGACGAAGTGTATGTCTTAAGGCTCTGCGATCCTGCTGTCTATGACGGCAGGATGGCTCTAAAGCAGACTGCCGGGACTTACCGCAATGCGGCAATGCTGACGGGAAACAACGTGCGGCGTGCTGGTGCAGGCGGGTATGAGTACAAAATCTACGAGGTGCGCAATCGATGAAAACGTTACAAGCCTCATGATGTTGCGAGTACGCTGCGGTTCTGAATCCGCAAAGGCGGCCTTAGGGACGAGGACCCGTTCGGGGATAACTAATTCAACTCCCGGGGAGTGCTTGCATCATCGCCATCATCATCATCATCAACAACAACAACGCACCTTCGCTAAACGGCCTGAGATCCCGGCAGATCCACTCGTGGAGGTCGTTGCAGGGGCACGGTCTTGGTTCGTGGTTCAAAGGCTTTGCGGAACAAGGGGCCTTAGGGGACCACTTACGAATCGCCGATGCGATGGTCAGTACTGCTCCAAACTCAGAAATAACAAGGTCACTTGGCCAAAACCATCTAAACATCAACCGTCTGACCAAAATCATAAAATATCTCATGGCATTGGAAGCTTTACAATCTGGGGTCTGAGCAAAGACGAGTTCAGGCAACGCTGCTCGGGCGGTGGCAGGTCCGTCGGCTGGCCTCGCCGTTCTTCCGAGCAGCCCCTCACTCTCTGCTGGTTCTGCAGATTCCGGGGCCGCAGCCATGAAGCTCGTAGGCTGTGATGGAACAGGCCTGGCGTCAACTTTGGACCGCAGGCTGCTGAACAACGGTGGGCGCTTGGGTCTCCCGCACGTTGTCCCGCAGGGCAACGCAGTCCTGGCAAAGCCCTACCGAGGTATCAGAGTCTCGGAATCGCAGTGCTGCGATACGACCACACCTCCAGGGTCGGCTGAGCTGACCTGCACAAAGCGGTGAAGTAGTGCGGCTCCTTTGGGCTCCTGACTGTGACGCTCTGGCCTCGATGGTGGTTGTGCCAACACCGCTAGTACTGCTGCTGCTCGTAGTCGCGGTGCCAGTGCCGCTGCTCGTAGTTGTGCTGCGGGTAGTGGCGGTACCAGTGCTGCTGCGGGTGCTGGCAGTAGCAGTGCTGCTGCTGCTCGTGGCAGTGGCAGTGCTGCTGGTGCTCATGGCAGTGGCAGTGGCAGTGCTGCTGGTGCTCGTGGCAGTGGCAGTGCTGCTGCTGCTCGTGGCAGTGGCAGTGCTGCTGCTGCTCGTGGCAGTGGCAGTGCTGCTGCTGCTCGTGGCAGTGGCAGTGCTGCTGCTGCTCGTGGCAGTGGCAGTGCTGCTGCTGCTCGTGGCAGTGCTGCTAGTTGATGTTGTGGCTGTGCCAGTGCCCGTGGAAGATGATGATGTTGCGGACGTTGTTGATGAAGCAGTGGCCTCAGAAGTGCTCCACCACTTTACGGCCCCGCTCTCACGTGCTCAAGACAAGTTCTGGCCTTCAAACATCACGCTAAACACCAGTGCCGCCGTCCACAAGAATCTCATTCTTTCGAGGGCAGCTGGGGGAGGGATATGTGCAGAGCTGAGCCTGACAACGAAGCCACAGGTCCAAGGTCCCGGCCGTGGTGCTCGAGGTAACGGTTACCTCGGTGGCAGCTCAGGTCTTATTTCTTCTTAGAAGACACGGTAACTTCGGCAACTCTCTTGTTAGGAGGGGGAGCAGTTTCTTTTCACTTCTTCAGAGGCATAGGAAATCCTGGCAAATGAGATCGCTGCTGCCGTGCTAGGTGCTAGGAGATGCAGGACCGCTCAAACTCTCGTTCCAGAAACAGAAAACCTTTCTTCGTTCGACACAACAAACGGGGAGATTCCGTCATCTTTGTCTTCCCCCCCGCCCCTGTGGCCTCGCTCGGAAGTGCCCCTTTTCGGCGTGGCGCTAGTTGTTGCCGGAACTGCTGCTGCTGCCACTGCTAACACACCGGCGGCCCAGGCGGGCACGCGCTTTGCGATAATGTTTAGGGCTCTATAGCGCGGTCTGCCATGCGCAGCCCAGGTGACGGTGGATGTTGTGGAACTCGTTCTGGTCATGCTGCTCGAGGTCTGCCAGCGCTTGGCAAAACACACACGCGCACCAAAAACATAACAAAAAAAGTCTCCGGGCACCTGGGTTGCGGTGGCGCTGCTCGAGACGCACACAAGGGTCCTAACTCACCGTCGCAGCTGGGAGATGCCAGGCCTTGGTGGTGGTGGTCAACGTGACACGCTTCAACCTACCACCACGCGTGCCGAGCCAACTTCGGAGCCCAGAAGCCCGCAAAAAGCTCCAGCACTGCAGGAAAGTTTACACTGCGACGCTGTGACGACTTCACAGGCCTCGAAGCTCATGAGCAAGACATCTTGTGAACCGGCATTGGTGTAATCATCCAGCGAGGAAGATGTAAAGCCCGCGGCGATGAGGTTGTTGTTCGGGTCGACCTGCAGCGGGGAGCCAGTGCAGCCTCTTCTTGACCCAGCGTTCACGAAACCCCATCAACGGCCCGAAGCCGGACTCATGCAAAAACTTCAAACCTTCCACCTGTAACCTGCAGAAAGCCTGGCGCTTGGGGCGGTTGTCAGTTCGCTAAGGCCTCTGGGCTCTGGGTATGCACGAACGAAGTGGGAGCCTAAAGTAGCCTAGCAGGACCTTAGCCCATGAACCCCAGTCGGCCCCAGAGATCATTCCCGGATCGCGCTTTTCGGCACAGGTCCAACGGTCAGAACCCTCCCAAATTTGCTGGTTTGCTGGGCGTATAGATCCTAAAAGCATCCCCTCTCATCCTGCTGGCCAATTTTGACAGTTTTTGGCCTTTCCTTTGCGGCCCTTGGGGGCGATCCGGAGATTTGTAAAGGCCACTGGAAGCCCTGCCCCAACTACTGCTACTTCTTGCTGGGAACTGCTGCTGCACATGCACCTGCAGCCAGGGCCAATGCACGCCATGCGCTTGCGAATAATATTACGCCTCGAGCTCCGAACTCTCTGCAAACGGCGCTGCACACAGCCCGCTGCCCGCGCTCCCTCGCTGCCCCCACTCCCTGCCTGCAGGGCATAGAAGCCGTCATTGCCGGAGCCTGGGCGGAGGGCTGGGCTCCGGGCGCTGCTCTGCGGTCTGCTGTCCCTCTCTTACTCTTGGCACGTTGCAAGAAACTCAGACTGAACTAGCAGGAACCACCCTGGAGCCTCCGCGCTGCACGGTCCATTGCCAGGTGCCGCTGTCGAAGCTCATGAGCAAAGCAGCGGATGAACCGGCATTGGTGCTTCCATCCAGTGAGGACGATGTGTAGCCCGCGGCGATGAGGTTGCCGTTCGGGTGGACCTGCAGCGGGGAGCCAGTGCAGCCTCTTCTTGACCCAGGGTTCACGAAACCCCATCAACTGTTCTTGCCTGCTTTGGGCATGCACGAACGAGGTGGGAGCCTATAGTAGCCTCGCATGGCCTTGGCCCATGAACCCCAGAGATCGTTTCCGGATCGCGCTTTTTGGCACAGATCCAACGGTCAAAACCTTCCCGGAATTGCTGGCCGTAGAGATCCTCAAAGCATCCGCCTCTCATCCTGGAGCTGTCGGAAGGCTGGGGGTTCCTCATCCCGGCAGATAGAGGCCTTCGGCGGTCTTTGCTGTAGGCCTCCTCGTGTTTTGCGATGCTGTGCATGTGCTTCATATCCAGAAGGAGCCAATTTAAATTTTGCATCTGCTGCCACTCAGCCCTGGCCCTATCTCTGCTGTGCCTCCAGCTCCTGGCCAATTTTGATAGTTTTTAGCCTTTCATTTGCGCGAGCCGGAGATTTGTAAAGGCCCCTGGAAGCCTTGCCCCTGCTGCTACTAATTCTTGCTGGGAACTGCTGCCGCAAATGCACCTGCAGCCAGGGCTAATGCACGCCATGTGCTTGCGATACTACTACGCCTCGAGCTCCCAACTCTCTGCAAACGGCGCTGCACACAGCCCGCTGCAAACACTCCCTCGCTGCCCCCACTCCCTGCCTGCAGGGCTTTGAATCGGTCATCGCCGGAGCCTGGGCGGAGGGCTGGGCTCCGGGCGCTGCTCTGCGGTCTGCTGTCCCTCTCTTACTCTTGGCACGTTGCAAGAAACTAGAAGACAATTGGCCCGAAAGCATCATCAGCGAAGATTGTGGGGCTATGTGATAGATCCAGTGTATAGGATCGTAAAGTCAGAGAGTCATAGAGTCCATGAGTCCTGAGGCATAAAGTCATAGAGTTGCAGTGAGATAGCGTCATAGAGTCGTAGTGAGATAAAGTCACGGAGTCATGGAGTCATCTATGTACCATGCGCTTGACGCGATGTAGTTCACTCTATGGTCTATGTGTGGGAACGCTTAATCGAGATCCCCATAGTGTGAGGGCTCGTAGCCTGAGCTGGACCTCGAGAGGCACATACAGTCCAGAGTCATAGAATCCATGAGTCCTGAGTCATAAAGTCATAGAACTGCAGTGAGATAGCGTCATAGAATCATAGTGAGATAAAGTCACAGAGTCATGAAGTCATCTATGTACCCTGCACTTGACTCGATGTAGTTCACTCTATGGTCTATGTGTGGGAACGCTTAATCGAGATCCCCATAGCGTGAGGGCTCGTAGCCTGAGCTGGACCTCGAGAGGCACATACAGTCAAGAGTCATAGAGTCCATGAGTCTTGAGCCATAAAGTCATAGAGTTGCAGTGAGATAGCGTCATAGAGTCATAGTGAGATAAAGTCACAGAGTCATGGAGTCATCTATGTACCATGCACTTGACGCGATGTAGTTCACTCTATGGTCTATGTGTGGGAACGCTTGATCGAGATCCCCATAGCGTGAGGGCTCGTAGCCTGAGCTGGACCTCGATCGTGTCGCAGCAGTAGTAGTAGTAGTAGTAGTAGTACTAGTACTAGTACTAGTAGTAGTAGTAGTAGTAGTAGTAGTAGTAGTAGTAGTAGGCGGCCACGTTGCTTGCTCGCTCTTTCGCAAGACAGCGTCGAAGCAAGCAAGCAAGCAACGGTCCGAACTAGCGGTTGCACAGTACCTTCTGCAAAGGGAGCATCCGGAAGGCGGTGTGCAACCTGGCTGAGGGCCAATTCATTTTCCTTCCTCTCGGCCTGGACCAAGTGGGACAGCAGCACTGGAGAGGCGGCCTGAGGAGGTGTCGAGCCAAACGAGGCAGGCAAACAACAGACACCAGTATAGCAAGATGTTGCAACATGCAGCCCCTCACCAGCAGAGCCTGCCGGTAAAACACGTGCAATGACAGGCGCAGATGCTGTCACAATAATGGAGTATGTGGCATATGCAAAAAAAATATCTCGCTTCCGAGCCTGCAGAGCGCGCAGCTCCCGCAGCTTTTGCTGCGACGCCGGTTCATCGGCCTGACAGCTATACTTCACTTCAAAGCACAAAACATCCCACCTGGCGACGACTCCGACGCCTCGCTGCAACAGAAGCTGACATGGACCATCATCCGGAACGCCGATTCCCCATGAAGCCTGCTCCCCGACAAACACCAGCATAGGAAGATGTTGCAACATGCAGCCCCTCACCAGCAGAGCCTGCCGGTCGAACACGTGCAATGACAGGCGCAAATGCTGTCACAATAATGGAGTATGTGGTACATGCCAAAATAATCTCGCTTCCGAGCCTGCAGAAGTCGTCGGCCAGGAAGCGGCGCGGTGCGCCGTCGCACGACAGCGTGTGCGCCGTACAAGCGCTCTATATATATATATATATATATACATATACATATATATACATATATATATATATATTCCATCCATATATATATGTACATATATATATATATATATATAGATATGGATGGAAGATATAATATATTATTAATATATCTATCTATCTATACTATCTATCTATATATATATATAGTATGTATATAAATTGACAGATATATTAGATAGTAGATAGATGTGTATATATATATGTATATAGTATATATATATATATATATTTATTTATTTATGTATATGTATATTATCGATATATTATGCATTTGCCAATCCCTCTGAAGGGTTGCCACTTGACCTGTTGCACACCTACCGCTTAGAACACTCGAAGAGGCAAATCCCTCTCAAGCCAATCCCTGTGAAGGCTTCCGCGGGCACCGCAAAATGTGCAACTTCACCTCGCGTTCGAACACTCGACAACGCCAATCTGTGTGAAGGGTTGCGAAATTCATCTCAATGCTCATCAAAAATTGCCACTTTACCTCGCGTTCGACCACTCGACCACACCAATCCCTGTGAGGGGTTGCAAAATTCATCTCAATGCTCATCAAAAATTGCAACTTTACCTCGCGTTCGAACACTCCACCACGCCAATCCTTGTGAAGGGTTGCAAAATTCATCTCAAAGCACATCAAAAAATGCAACTTTACCTCGCGTTCGACCACTCGACCACGCCAATCCTTGTGAAGGGTTGCAAAATTCATCTCAAAGCACATCAAAAAATGCAACTTTACCTCGCGTTCGACCACTCGACCACGCCAATCCCTGTGAGGGGTTGCAAAATTCATCTCAATGCTCATCAAAAAATGCAACTTTACCTCGCGTTCGAACACTCCACCACGCCAATCCTTGTGAAGGGTTGCAAAATTCATCTCAATGCACATCAAAAAATGCAACTTTACCTCGCGTTCGAACACCCGACCACGCCAATCCCTGTGAAGGGTTGCAAAATTCATGTCAATGCTCGTCAAAAAATGCAACTTTACCTCGCGTTCGAACACCCGACGCCAATCCCTGTGAAGGGTTGCAAAATGCCAATCCCTGTGAAGGGTTGCAAAACAAATTGAACTGCACCCAAACCCTGTGAAGGGTTGCGCGGCGCCCGCAAAAAGTGTAACTTTACCTCGCGTTTGAACGCCCGAGGAGGCGAATCCCTGTGAAGGGTTGCGCGGCGCCCGCAACATGTGTAACTTTACCTCGCGTTTGAACGCCCGAGGAGGCGAATCCCTGTGAAGGGTTGCGCTGGGCGCCTAAAATGTGTAACTTTACCTCGCGTTTGAACGCCCGAGAGTTCCAATGCCTGTGAAGGGTTGCGCCGGCTGCCTAAAATGTGTAACTTTACCTCGCGTTTGAACGCCCGAGGAGGCGAATCCCTGTGAAGGGTTGCGCCGGGCGCCTAAAATGTGTAACTTTACCTCGCGTTTGAACGCTCGAGGAGGCGAATCCCTGTGAAGGGTTCACCCGCGCGCCTAAAATGTGTAACTTTGCCTCGCGTTTGAACGCCCGAGGAGGCGAATCCCTGTGAAAGGTTGCATTCCCGATGGACGCTGACGGTGCCACCCCCGGCTTTAAAACAGAAATTTAGATACCGAGTAAGTAAGTAAGTTAGTTAGTAAGTAAAAGTAAGGGTAAGTAAAAGTAAAAGTAAGTCGTAAGTAAGTAAGTAAGTAAGTAAGGTCAATAAGTAAGTAAGTAAGTAGTAATAAGTAGTAAGTAAGTAAGTTAGTTAGTAAGTAAGTAAGTAAGTAAGTCAATAAGTAAGTTAAGTAAGTAAGGTCAATAAGTAAGTTAAGTAAGTAAGTAAGTAAGTAAGTCAGTAAGTAAGTTAAGTAAGTAAGGTCAATAAGTAAGTTAAGTAAGTAAGTAAGTAAATAAGTCAGTAAGTAAGTTAAGTAAGTAAGGTCAATAAGTAAGTTAAGTAAGTAAGTTAAGTAAGTAAGTAAGTCAGTAAGTAAGTCAGTAAGTAAGTCAGTAAGTAAGTCAGTAAGTAAGTCAGCAAGTAAGTAACTTAGTCAGTCAGTAAGTAAGTCAGTCAAGTAAGTTCTATGTCTGTCATCTATGTACTCATCTGGGCGGCTCCGCCCGGAAGAACCCTTCGCGATGCTTTCGGGAACTCAGACAAAACTTGCAGGAACCACCCTGGAGCCTCCGCGCTGCACGGTCCATTGCCAGGTGCCGGTGCTGTCGAAGCTCATGAGCAAAGCATCGGATGAACCGGCATTGGTGCTTCCATCCAGTGAGGACGATGTGTAGCCCGCGGCGATGAGGTTGCCGTTCGGGTGGACCTGCAGCGGGGAGCCAGTGCAGCCTCTTCTTGACCCAGGGTTCACGAAACCCCATCACCTGTTCTTGCCTGCTTTGGGCATGCACGAACGAGGTGGGAGCCTATAGTAGCCTCGCATGGCCTTGGCCCATGAACCCCAGAGATCGTTTCCGGATCGCGCTTTTTGGCACAGATCCAACGGTCAAAACCCTCCCGGAATTGCTGGCCGTAGAGATCCTCAAAGCATCCGCCTCTCATCCTGGAGCTCTCGGAAGGCTGGGGGTTCCTCATCCCGGCGGTCTTTGCTGTAGGCCTCCTCGTCTTTTGCGATGCTGTGCATGTGCTTCATATCCAGAAGGAGCCAATTTAAATTTTGCATCTGCTGCCACTCAGCCCTGGCCCTATCTCTGCTGTGCCTCCAGCTCCTGGCCAATTTTGATAGTTTTTGGCCTTTCATTTGCGCGAGCCGGAGATTTGTAAAGGCCCCTGGAAGCCTTGCCCCTGCTGCTACTAATTCTTGCTGGGAACTGCTGCTGCAAATGCACCTGCAGCCAGGGCTAATGCACGCCATGTGCTTGCGATACTACTACGCCTCGAGCTCCCAACTCTCTGCAAACGGCGCTGCACACAGCCCGCTGCCCACACTCCCTCGCTGCCCCCACTCCCTGCCTGCAGGGCTTCGAAGACGTCATCGCCGGAGCCTGGGCGGAGGGCTGGGCTCCGGGCGCTGCTCTGCGGTCTGCTGTCCCTCTCTTACTCTTGGCACGTTGCAAGAAACTCAGACAAAACTTGCAGGAACCACCCTGGAGCCTCCGCGCTGCACGGTCCATTGCCAGGTGCCGGTGCTGTCGACGCTCATGAGCAAAGTATCGGATGAACCGGCATTGGTGTAGCCATCCAACGACGAAGATGTGAAGCCCGCGGCGATGAGGTTGCCGTTCGGGTGGACCTGCAGCGGGGAGCCAGTGCAGCCTCTTCTTGACCCAGGGTTCACGAAACCCCATCACCTGTTCTTGCCTGCTTTGGGTATGCACGAACGAGGTGGGAGCCTATAGTAGCCTCGCATGGCCTTGGCCCATGAACCCCAGAGATCGTTTCCGGATCGCGCGTTTTGGCACAGATCCAACGGTCAAAACCCTCCCGGAATTGCTGGCCGTAGAGATCCTCAAAGCATCCGCCTCTCATCCTGGAGCTCTCGGAAGGCTGGGGGTTCCTCATCCCGGCGGTCTTTGCTGTAGGCCTCCTCGTCTTTTGCGATGCTGTGCATGTGCTTCATATCCAGAAGGAGCCAATTTAAATTTTGCATCTGCTGCCACTCAGCCCTGGCCCTATCTCTGCTGTGCCTCCAGCTCCTGGCCAATTTTGATAGTTTTTGGCCTTTCATTTGCGGTCCTTGGGGGCGATCCGGAGATTTGTAAAGGTCCCTGGAAGGCCTGCCCCAACTACTCCTACTTCTTGCTGGGAGCTGGTGCTGCACATGCACCTGCAGCCAGGGCTAATGCACGCCATGCGCTTGCGATAATATTACGCCTCGAGCTCCGAACTCTCTGCAAACGGCGCTGCACGGCCGGCTGCCCCTGCTCCCTCGCTCCCCCCGCTCCCTGCCTGCAGGGCACGGAAGCGATCCATGTCGGAGCCTGGGCGGAGGGCTGGGCTCCGGGCGATGCTCTGCGGTCGGTCAGCTGTCCCTCTCTTGGAACGTTGCAAGAATTCAGACTAAACTGACCCTTGAGCCTCCGCGCTGCACGGTCCATTGCCAGGCGCCGGTGCTGTCGAAGCTCATGAGCAAAGCATCGGTTAAACCGTCATTGGTGTAGCCATCCAGCGAGGAATAGGTGGAGCCCGCGGCGATGAGGTTGCCGTTCGGGTGGACCTGCAGCGGGAAGCCGGCATCGCGCCTCTGGCCTCTGGGTATGCGCGAACGAGGCGGGAACCTACAGAAGCCAGAACCCTCCCGGGATTGCTGGGCATAAAAAGATCCTAAAAGCATCCATGCGATGCTGTGCATGTGTTTCATATCCAGAAGGCGCCAATTCTGCTGCCGATACAGCTACTGCTTGCTGGGACCTGCTGCTGCAAATGCACCTGCAAGCCCTGGCTACAATGATCGCTATGCGCTTGTGCGGAAAGCACTGGCAGCGTATGGGCTTTTTTGGTCGCTAGCATGCAACGTGTAGTCTGTGAAACTTCTGCCTGCTTGCATCCTGCGGTTGTGCTTTAAGCAGACCGGAACATGCTCGTGGCGGGCAACATGTCTCTGCGCACAATTGCTTTCGGGCCAGCTTGAGAAGTCGGCCGGCACGCAGATAAAAGGACTGAGGCTGTACTGCACTCTGGAGAATCTCACTCCCTCTTTATAGTCAGCCTCAGGACCAGAGTCGTTCAGCAGGTTCTCGGCTTCGGCAGCAGCTTCTTGTCGTCGCTGTCGCCGTTGGTCAGCCTGAGCCTCGCCGTCCTTGTCCTTTGCCACCTTTCGCCTTTGGCGTTCCGCCTGCTTGCGCTCCTTCAGCTTCTGGTTCTCACGGGTCTGGACCAGAGTGGTCATGCCCGTCCGAAGGAATTCCCGCAGGGTGTCCTTCTCGGCGTTGTGCTTGGTGAGCACGTTGGACACGTTCTGTAGGCCATCAATCCAGCGCACGTGTGCGCCAGGCTTGCGCACCGTCTCTCGAAGGAGGGCTCCTTCGATCGCCATCCTCTTGTCGCTGCTGGTGCTCGTTGATTCTTTAGCCAGGTAGTCGAAAACGGAGCGGGCATCGGTGACATACACCCTCTGCCGCTTCTCGATGACGCTCGGCCACCCTTTCAAATCCACTTGCCACGTCAGGGCTTCTTCCAGCAGCACAATGGCCCAATCACCAGCTTCAATGGCCTCGGCCAAATGGCTGGCCTCAGCCGCCAGCGTGTTTCGGCAGACCCGTTTGGTCTGTGAAGAGTGGTAGGCCAATATGTTGGCCCGCGCCGTCTTGCCCTCCAAGATCTCAGGGTTCGCCGCCAGGATGAAATAGCCACCGACGCTGCGGTAACGCGTTTCCTCCTTGTAGGCGGGGGTCCCGTTGGCGTGGCCACTGTCCGCCAAGTGCACGATCACACAGTTGCGCAGGTCCACATCAGCCCAATAGCGTTGCCGGAAGTCGGCACCACGCCTGGCTTGCCCCACATACTGTTTCAAACGCACCAGGTCCGCCACACAAGGGTCACCTTTGCACCTTTGGATCACCCCGTTCTCATATGCTAGATCGCAACGAAGTTGTCTTGTGATCCAGCCCAGCTCGCCCGAGACGCTCTGGAAGGTCTCCAGCTCTTGTGGCGTGAGGCCGTCGGTGAGCTGGCGCCGCCGTTCCTGTCCTATGGACACCGTCTTCATACTCAAGTCTTAGTTGCGCATGCTCACGTCGATGTGGTTTTGCGGCCCTTGCTTTACCTCCCGCCCTCTAAAGATAAAGTCCCGGAAATGGTTGGTGGCGAAGTCGAGGGCAACGGAGGACTTCTGGAAGGCCTTGTCGAGCCAGCCATCCTTGACCCCGCCTTCGATGTCGTCCACGTGGGTCACCAGGATGCCGACTAACTCGCTTTGTTCCCGAAGGTAAAAGAGAGCAGGCTCTAGACGGCTCTCAACCCAACCGTCGGATTCCAAATGCTCTTTCAAAGCCAGCCAGAACATCCGGGCTGCCTCGGCAAAACCATAAATGGCCTTCCTCGCTCTCAAGAGCTGTCCCGGCTTAAGCCCCGGCAGGCCGCCGCGAGGTGGCTGGCCGCTGAAGTAGGCATTCTTGACGTCCTTCGCCAACAGGGTGAAGCCCAAGAACGCGCAAATGGCAAGACAAATGCTTTCTGCCGTTGCGCTGGCTGTCGGGGCGTCTCTTCGGTAATACACCACAAGCCTGGACTTGGCCTGAAACTCTTTGCCCTCTAGGCCCTCGGTCTTGTTCGTTCGCACCCACCTCGTAGGCACAATGAGGTCGGCCTTCTCGCGTCGAACTTGGGCGCTTTCGGCAAGGCTCAGGAATTCCACGGCCTCTTTGGCTTTCCAAGCGGTCCACTCCTTTTGGTCGGAGCCTTCCGGTCCAGTGAAGAGGTCCTGCTTCTCGCGGCTGAGCTCGTTCAGCTGTAGCTCCCTTCGCCCCTTCTTCTTCCAGGGCGTTGCCGGCAGCCATCGCCTGGTATTTGTGCTCAAAGTCGTTCCGCCTAAAGCCGAAGAGGAACTCGCTCTCTGAAACTCCCCAAGCCAGGTAAGCGGACTCGTGCTTGCGGTAAGTCTCCCTGGCCTTGTGCGTCAGGTAGGCCTGGGACTCGTAGGCCACATAAACGCAACAGGTTTCGGCTGCATAGCTTGCGGTCTCTCCAGGCTCGACGGTTCTGAGCCGCTTGGCTTCTCTCTCGGCTGCCTCCGCCTCGGGATCCTCAACCACAGGGCTCGTGGTAGTCATGGATCTCGGGATCGAAATACATAGACCGGGCTCTCCTCCAGGTCGGGGTCCTCGGCCCCGGTGGGATCTACAGGGACCTCTGACGCGGACGGCGGTGGTGCCCTCGGCCCGGCTGTCTCCGAGCTTGGTCTTGCCTCTGTCCGAGCTTGCTTCCTCCTCTGCTCCTGGGCCCGGAAAAACTCACGAGAGCGCCGATGCCGTTGAGCATCACGCTCTGAATCTTGTCGCGCCCTGGAGGAAGAAAGGGAACCCGAGCTCCATTCTCCGACCTCGGCTGGTAAAGGTGGTGGCTCCGGTAAAGCCGCCGGTGCACCCCAGGTTCGGGAAGAGGAGGTCTTTCACCTTGGCGAATGTCTATGTACCCTGTGCCCCCTGCAGCAGGCATCAGGTCCATGAGCTCGGTTTCGTTGCCAATGGCGGTCCAGCTCTGAACTTCATCTTCGCTATAGCGTGTGCCACCTGCTCCGGGCTTGCCGCCACCAAGATCCCTCGGTGAGAAATCCAGAGGGTATGTGTGCCCTCCTTTCCGACGATGCGGCCGACTCCGCGCCAACAGTTGGGCCCGGGTTCCTTCGACGAGGCGTCGTAGTAGAAAACGTAGTCGCCCACATTGAAGGGGCCACGGCTGGGCCGAACTTTGCGAAGCTCTGCTCGTCGGAGGCTGGCGTCACTTGAGGCCTTTACGAAAACCTCCCGGGCGGAAAACCTCAGCTGGCTTTTGCGGTAGAACTTGGTGTTGGGCGTCTCGGCCATGGCCTGGGCTCCAATTCGAGCCACTTCTCCATCATCGGCCAGGTTGGCCGGGAGCCGAATGGATCGGCCCAGCACCCATTGCCCTGGCGAAAAGCCAGACTTTCTCGAGAGGTCGTTCTTGGCCTGCGTGGTGGCGGCCGTGGCGAGTTGAACTTCTTCTCGCCCTGCAACTTGCTGTGCCGCGTTCTTCCAAGTGTCGCCGTGCCTCTCTATCTGCCCAAGCTGCCACGGCGAAGCCTTGGCCGCTGAGTCTAGGTAGCAGCCGCTGTCGGCGATGTCCTCGGCGAACTCCGCCATGAAGTACTTCGCCCGGTCGGTCATCACACCGCGCTCGGGGTAGCCGGCCCAGTTCACCCACTGAGTCAGGAACGTCTCCAGCACGACTGCCGCGGTCGGGTTGGCGTGAGTGTCGGGGAGCACGGCCACCACTTGGAAAGTGGTGCCTTGGCACAGCACGTTCAGGAAGCTCCACTGGTCTCCTTGAGAGTCCTTCTCCTGGAACACGTCGATCCCGATGGCGACGTTGAACTCGTCCGCGATCGGCAGTTTCGAGGGTCTTTGCTTCTTCGGGGCTTTCAGGCGCAAGCACTCAGGACACCGAAACAGCCGACAAGCCTTCAAGGCAACTTCTGAAGCTCTTGACACCCGAAGGGCTCGGAGCATAGTAAGGCATAGTAGCCTGCTCAGGATGACCGAGATTATTGTGAACTCGCTGAATTGCTAGCTTGAGTTCCCTGGGCAAATTGTCCCATTGTCGCTTTCGCTCAGCTTCTCGGCCTCCGGCTTCCGGTCCGGTCCCCTTGGCGTCTCATCTCCTCCGTCTCCAGCCTGGATGACCACATGTCGGTTAAAAGGATTGCATTATCCTTTTGGTGAAAGAGTTTTTTTATAAGCCACGTGCTCCATGTGACTTAAGCTAAGTCACATATCCTTCTGGGCTGTTTCTTCGGTGCTGGAGAGATCGCAAGAAGAGATCGAGATGCAAAGGCCAGAGACTAGCATTGTTGACCATTAAAATTACTGCACATCCCTATAGGCATGTACATAGACAGATGTGCTTGCGCGAGGTGGCAGAAAAAAAAACAAAAACGAGCACGGGTTTTGCATCCCGCTAGTGGATTCAAAATTCCCGTTCTTGTGACTTTGTAAGAAATATAGAGATAGTGAAATATATGGGGGTAATCGGGTCAGTATATACTTGCCGTACCCATGCAATGGTATGTCGCGAATATATTCGTCGTCCATGCATATACTTATATACCATATATGTGCAAACAGACGACTGATGCAGGTCAGGCATCATCGTGAGTCGCAAATAATCTCTTTGATTAATAATCATATTGTAACCGTGATCTGGCGATGGCTATTCGAGGCCGTTGTCCAGGTGGCAGATGCTTTGAACAAGGAGCATGGTGCCGTAATGGTAGCATATCCTGAAATCGATGTTGTTCTTGGAAATCAGCCAGATTCTGAAGCTGTGGCTGTGACTGTAAGTACTTCCGATAAGAAGTGCACGGCTCTCCTGCTACAGTCTTGCTGAAAGATTGCCGCTTCTCTGTGCGAAGCTCCAATTTCAATTTGCGGCTCGAGATAGATTGTGCGAGAGTGGACCCGGGTCGGTCGATCCGAGGAGTTGCAGTTCGATGAGGGCCGGCAGTTGGACGTAATCTAAATCTGGCCGCGGTGGCGGATTTTCCATGAAAGCGTGTAGGAATATCGCTATTAAATAGGTATGTCTTTTGCTGCGCCAGGTCTGTTGCAATTGCAACTCATGCCTGCTTAAAGGAAGTGCTGTGCCTACAGTTCAATATCCAAGCGCACTCGATGTGCATGTTTGACACGGTGCTAATTATAACCCTGCATCATGTATGTAGTTGTCGAGCTTGAACTGAAACTGCAGGGGTTGCATCGACATAGCAGCTGAATCCACACACGAAATTGCGCAGGTTCCTACAGCAACAGTAATCTAAAGAAGTTCCTACAGCAACAGTAATCTAAAGAAGATCCCTTTGCATGTGTGTGAGATCGTTGCGTCGCGATATTCATAGCCATGGATCGAGAAATGTTGGGCTTCAGGCCGGGGCCTTGCTCTTTGATGAATTTAAGCACCCCATAACATTAAAAACCAATATAGTGGGATCCAACGTAGCAGGCTGTGGGCTGGTCGGCCGTGATGCTCGTGAGAGACTGCCAGATGCATGGCAGTGAGCCCAGAATCTGTGCTCGAGCATGGACATATTGTGGGTTTGCATGTGTGGGTGTATATGTGTCGTGGCCGATAGTCGGGATGAGAGGTTCTAAGTATACTTGATATAGATATCCGGTAATCTTAAGTGCTGTTGTGTGATCAAGGTTTGTGGCTTGGTTTGATCCGAACAGACAAAGATGTTGGGCTCGAATACTGGGGCTCGAGGCCTCCATATAGCATACAAATTATATCGGATTTTGTGCTACGTAAAATCACCAACAATTATCATAAACTAAGCTACCGAAGATGAAAGGCTTAAAATCGCTCCAGTCCCGGCATACCCTTGGATATTGGCCAAAAGCCAAACTTTATAAACCACCGGCACGGCGGGTAAAATATAAAAATAATCTGATATATCGCTGAGGTGAAGACTGGACGATCTACCGTGGCGGGATTGTTCAATGAAGGTGCGACCACCCGCCCTTTGAAGTTCGTGCTTGGAGTTTGTGCTTCCAGTTGTGCAGTGGTCGTTGCGCTGGCAGTGGCTGTGCTATGCCTTGAGAACATGTTATGTCTATGTCTCCATAGCATTTTGCTTGGTCTCGAGTTCTTCAGTGGCGGAAAGATGAAGTCGGAACACTTTTCATCTTGACATATGTGCCAATTGTTAATGCACGGGGGTAATCTTAAGCGAGCAAATAGGATGCGCTACGTAAGCCAAAGCCGCATATCGGAATATCTTATTAATAACCAATACTGTGCACTCTACAACATAGCTGCCATTCTCGGGCCTAATTTCTCCGTACACGGTGTGCTGGGACCTGGGGGCTCCGCGACCAGTGTGTGTAGGCCATGCCGACGCTGCCTTATTCAGATTTTGAGGAAACTCCGCTCGAGTTCTGTCCCGAAGCTATACGGATCTCTGAAGCTTTACAGGAGGTGGACTCAATTCAGCACGAGCCTTGCTCTTGAATTGGTTACTCTTTTTGGAGCTTGCGGTCCTTGCTGCATGCATTGGTCCTCTGGTAGTGTTTGCAAGCCTGAGCCAAATCATTGTGAAAGCACCCTAAACCCACAAAGCCCTAACCCCGAAGCCCACGAAGCCCTAAGCCTTAGGACACTTTTAAAACGTATATTCTGTTAATATGTGTTTGTGCTTATCCTGTTAAAAGGTCTTCGACGCGGGTGCGTTTATGATTGCAATATAGTGCGTGATTGTGTATGTACTGAAGGTTCTTGTCTATTGTCATGGGATTTCTGAGCATAGTTCAGGATGGGTTATATTTTCGGATTATTGTCTAGGCACCTTGATTCATATCTCAATGCGCTTGCAGCCGGAGCGCCACTTAAAGTCTTTCCTTACGGATGCCTCATATCGGGGTCCTGAGTTTGAACTATAAGTATTGTTGGCAATAGTCATAGTGGTATATGCTACTCGAGAACAGGCCTTTAAGCTCTGTGCCGGGCAGCATATCGCGGCATAAACATCCAGGCAACCCTGAACCTATCTTGTTGCGATTTTGTCTACAGTGAGCGGCTGCCCAGTATGGACCCCAAAGCCCCAACCAAGCACAATATGTTAAGTACAAAACTTGACACAGAACAGTTTAGTATGAAGAATTATAAGGAAAGAGAAACTCAACCTGTATTGTAAGTAGATAAAAATAACGAGACTTTCACTTACAATCGGGTTCATGCTAAAAAACTAATGGTGTACGAAAGCCGGCTGACCTTCTCGTTTATGCCTTCTATGGTACTTGTACTAGGCTTAATCACCTCGCTAGCCCCAATAGACCAGCCGCTGAGATGGGATACAACCTCCTGATTGACAGAAGCGGGAAGCTTCTCATGAAGAAGAATGCGGTCTGCAGGAAGGACTTGGCCATCAATAATACAGTTCCACGACATAACTTGGACTCGTACAGGGGCTTCGGGTGAGTTCCGTGCATGGAGTGGGTGTGTTGTTTGCTGCGGCTTCTGCTGCTGCTGGCCAGGTTGTCGCAACGGTGATGAAGGCCTCCGGCAAGACTCGTCGCAGGTATTCAGCCCACATCTTTGCGCATGCCATTCTTCACTGGTATTCAACTACGAAGCAGATGCCTAGAGGAATAAGCCCCAATTGTGCCTCCGTCCGCGACTGGGCTTTGCGTACCGGGACTGCCTTGCGGAAGCTTGCGTCCTTGATGCATGAGCTGACTTGTGCTAGGATACTGGGAATGACGTTGCATAGGAGTCTGCGTCGAGCGATTTGCACACCCTAGGCTACCAAGCTGAAGGAGCTCTGCAGACGCACCGACAGGTCACATGACAGGGCACTCTGTGAGCTGAAAGAAGAAGTTCTACCATATCTCCCTCCAAGAAAGAAAAGCAAAGCCGAGAAGCAGGATCCCTGACGATGGACAGTATTGGTTGTTACTATAGAAGTATTTTATTTGAGTGGAAACATCAATATACGGTAAACCCCGGCCCTAAATTAAGCTTCACACTCCTAAACCCTGAACCCGAGCCTTATTAACCCTAAATCCCAGTTGCTTCCAGGAGCACGCCGACGATTCCGAGGATTCCGATTCCTCTGAAGCCGTGGAGTCCGATGATGAGGACGGCGGGCTTTCGAGTCAGGGCGAAGTAGACAGCCTGAGAAGGCTGAGTACTTTGGAAAGTGCCATCACTCCGGTTTCTGGGCTGGCATCGGCTTGGTAATGAAAATTGATGCACGTGTGCGCATGTCAAAGCTGCTGCTTGGATCTGATCATATGCAACTCATATCTGAGGCTCCAAGACGAAAGGCCCTGTCTGATTTGGAAACCCCACCACGAGTGGACAAGCTGGCCCAGCTGAAGAAGCTCGGTGTGTTACACATGCAGGGGCAGGGGTAAAGGGTGTTGGGCTTAGGGCTTAGGGGCACGGTACGGTCATGCAAGCGAGAATAGATTACGACAACACAACTCCTCCTAAGGAGCATCGTTGCTGATGTCAAGGCTCCGGTGCCCGAGTCGAAGGATCGCTTGTCCACAGTGGTGGCCAAGCTGCAGGCCGTCAGGAACCAGGGACGTCCCTGCAACAAGTTTGTGTTGCCAAAGCCAGCATCTTGTCTCAATATCCAGTACACAATGGTCAATGCATTACAATCTGTTGAAGCAAACATGATAATACTGATTATCGATTTTTGATCTGTAAGGTCCTGGAGAGTTTGCAGAACTTGACGGCAGAGCCTACGCCCTTTCTTCCTAAGCTGCAGCGCCTAAACCCAGGGATTATACCAGTTGTTGTTGTTGTTGCGCAAACTATTATTATCGGTGGTTTCTAGTTGAAAACCGAGGTACAAGAATCAGGAATGCGACAGTGCAGATGAGGACGAGTTAGCTGATACTTCTGCGAAACCGAAACGCAAGCCCATGAAGAAGAGCAAGCGCAAACATGCAAAGAAGAAGAAGAAGACCTCGAGCAAGGCTGCTGGTAGCAGCAGCAGCAGCAAAGGGAAAAAAAAACTGCCGACAGATGGCAGCTGCATGTACCGGCCTGGAAATTTCAAGCAGGAGCGCTTGGACTTCATATACAGAACCATGAAAGAGAAGAACATCAAGTTTTTCGAGGCAGCTAAGTATTGGCTTCCCAGTGCACACCGGGCTTCTTTGCTGGACGGTTTACCTAGATCGGAGCTCCAAAGGAGGCGATTTGTGCCGGCCATGAACCCCAGGTCAAAGAAGACCCCAAAGGCAGGGCCCAAGCCGGCTTGAGCTTGTTCCCACTCCGCTTTTTCGACTTCCAAGCCCAAAGACTATCAAGATGCAGACGAGTGGCTGCCAGTAGCCCGCCAAGGTCTGATATCCCAGTAATTCAACCTGTGCAAATTCTGATTGTTTGTCGAGGCTTAGCCGTGGATTGTGCCACTCCTGGGCCAGTAGCTGCATTTTAGCATGTTGGCTGCTGCCTGCAGCAGCTTAATTACTGCGTCCCGATGTTGATGTCGAGTCTGCAGAGCCCAGGAGAACTTGTGCTTGCAAGCTTCATGATGTGATGTGAGAAGTGTGTCTGCGCATGTGTGTGTGTGTGCCAGGTACCGTGTGTACATGCATGTGTGCTGAAGCCAGCCGCCTTAACCTTCTGTTGCATGCTGCCTACAGCTGTTCAAGTTTTTTGTCGGGCCCTAGGCTTCTGATAAGAAGGTTTGGGGCCTCTGTTCTCGAACATGGTTGTGGCAGAGCTGTTGCAGTGGAGGGCCCCTCTGCCCTTGGTGCTGCTTTGCATTATGCTTGGCTTCCACCCACGTCTCCGACATAAACAGGACCGGGGCAGGTTTCTAAATTTCGCGACTCTCTAAAGAATCGGCCCTGAACCCTGTAACTGGCAAGCCTCGCAGGACTTCGACTTTGTGGAGCTCTTCTGTGGAGATGCTGAAGTCAGCAGCAAGCTCCGCCAGGACACCTTTGCAAGTTCGTTCGGATTTCTAGGTCTTTCTTTGCGGCTTTTGATATTCCAGGATGGCTTGGATGGAGCTTCGTTGGATTTCATGATGAATCCCTACAGATTCGACCTCACCGCAGACGTAGGGTTTGCGCTTGCGCTGAATGCAATCCTTCGTTTGCGACCTGGTGGTGTGGTTGTCGTGGGCCTTTGCTGCGAAAGCTTCTCCATAATGTGCCTTGATTCCTGCTGACTAGAGATTTTTCTAAATAGAGGGTAGCTTGTCCATATTGAGTGCGCTGCATATTAATGGTCTTTGTGTTCCACTGAAGCTTAGGAGCCGAGCTGTATCTGGACGTACAGTGATTCACCCCGGTGGCAATGTTGGGTATGGTTTTGTGGCCAAAGGAAACCTGCTTCTTTGCAGGAGCGTAATGCTCCTTCTGGTTGCTGCTAGCAGGGGCTGTCGTTTCCTATTGGAACAGCCAGGCCAGTCATGCCTCTCCTTACACCCTAGATGGGAGTGGTTTGTGGACCGAGTCCATGTTCCGCTCTTGCATCTTAGAATCTTTGAGCTTTCGGCATTTCGGGTGGGGGGGGAGTTCGAGTCTGAACTGGGCTAGGGTTTGCTAGGATTTTCGGGCGCGACTTCCCTCCAAAGATTAATCTCATGTCTGTGAGTGTTCGAATCCTTTATCTCAGGTTTTCCGTGCCAGCTGGTACATGGGAAAATTCGGTGGCTCCACAGCAAAGCGTCATATGGGATGGAGCAACGATGAAGGTTTCATGAAAGATCTCATGGCCAGGGGTGGCTTCATGAATGCCGAAGAGCGCCGAGAAATCGCTGCTTCACTTGTCACGAGGGGCACCAGCAAACGTGGCATGCCCACTTTCACTGGAGCAAAACAACTCAAGAAGAGCCAGACTTTAGCCTGCACTGAAGCTACGTTGGGCCTTGTATTTCTGAAGCCCTTGTTGAATTCCATCTGAGGAGATACACTGCGACTTTTGGGCACAATGTTGTGGACATCTTTCGCAAAAGGCAGGGAGCTACTTTCCTGCACCCGTATCAGTGCATTACGCATGACAGCTTCCGGTTCCATGCATCCAAACCATGCCAGTCTTTATTCGATGACTTAGGAGGATGTTCCTGGACCCAAAGATCCTTTGAAGGTTGATTGGGGCCGATCAGACTATGAGCTGTTTTGCTTGCACCTGTCTTCTGTGGGGGATGATACTTGTGCAGATGCTGCTTGATTCACTTCAGAGTGGAATCGTTGCCATGTAGATATATGCTTGTCTTTCTTACCTATGCAGCTGCATTGCTGCTAGTCACCTTGATCGTCGATCAAAGGCAAACCTGGCGTCTGTCATTCGCTATGTCGGTGGATGCTCGGATCTCTCTTTCCCTGGACAATGGGACTCTTGGCCTCTATCTTCTATGTTTCAGGATGCAGCAGTCACAACTTCCGAAGATGCATTTCTTCAAAATGCCCCACAAATGCTTCTCAACAACCTGTTTTCTTAGCCCCTGAAGGTCCCAATAACCACTCTACTTCTTGATTGTGTAGGACCCGATGTATGTGATTCCTAAACCTAAAATACTTTCACCCTCAGCCTTGAACCTCTTCCTCACCATCAAGCTCAGGGGTACTGGTTTAAAGATCGCACTTCAGTTTGCTATTGGGAAATCATAGAGTCATAGAGCATCCTGCCCAAACAAGATTAGCTGGCCTTGTAGCGATAGAGTATTGAAGCCAGTTCCAGATCACATCCTTGCCGAGGGACACCAAATGTTGTGCATTGCCTAGGCTTCGGGAATGATTTCCTTCTTGGGTTGGCCTAGCATATACGAAAATCTTCATGTGGGGAACAACAACTACTACTACTCTTAGACCAGTTGTTAAATGGCTAGAGGATCTAATGTTGTATTTGGGTATGGGATGTTCGGTTGCTCCTGCTGCCCTCGAATCCTAGGAACCACTGATGCTGAAGATTCGCCAGTGACCTGCCTCCATTATCTTTTGAACCAGTATACACTGTATACACCATTAAATTCAAGCATCCCAGGCAGCTGCTCAAGGATCATGGCGGTCCACAGATGATGGCCGATCTGCTGGCCAAAGTGTGCACCTCTGTGGCCGCATCGCTTTAGTGGAATATTCGTGGCTTGGAGGGATTCCTTTTCAACTAGGGTCTTAGACGGTTACGACTGCACTATTTGAAGATTAGATGGCTTCCCCAAGCAATTTGACGATGCACATGTACAGCAGACCTAGACCAACTGTTGGCTGCAGCCAGGGCCATTGCGTGAATATGCGTTCTTTGCAGGCTATTGAGCGTTCAATGCAGGGTATCCAGCGTGAACGGCGTGAATCGTGATTTTACATCACTTTACTAGCAAGCTTCTGTTCAGATTGGTTCCTGGCATAATTCATGCTAATTAATACCAAAGGCAGAGGCTGTGGCAGGATCGACCAAGCGCAGCAAAAGTGTGTATACGAGCTTTCGAGACATGCTGAATGTGCCTGGACCCTTCATCCGTGAAAAATACCCCGTGAAGCCCGTGAACTGTTTGTCTGCAGAATTGTCCCGTGAACAAACCGTGAAGTTCGTGAATGGCCTATCGCTTGTCGACTACTGTACAAAGCCTCCACCGTGAACAGACCGTGAAATTCGTGAACCTTGTCCTCCAATATCCTAGAACACCCGGCCGTGAAAACCGTGAACACTGGAAACCATTACCTCTGCGAGAGTTGTAGGCCTAACCACTACAAAAAATCAGAAAAATATTGCTAACCAGTTCTCTCTGCTCCGACAATCCTGAAATCATCGGTTCTGTCTGCTTTCATTAACCGATCAAACATCTCATGGGTGTGTCTTCATGCAGCATGTTGTGTGCCGGGCTTACACATGGTGTGTTTGCTCTGAAGGCCTGATCGAGGTTTCACCGTAGCGCCAGCTAGGTTCTGAGGACCAGACCAGGATCTGGTGCTTGTGTTCATGGCGCCTGCTCAGAGCAAGGCATCCCAGGATGCTGTTAAGGATCGCAAGCAGCAGCTCCGTGCGGAGTTTGCTCGTGGCAATGCTATGAGGAAGCATGCAAAGGAAACGGGCATGGTGTACGACTTGTCAACACCCTTGTTGGATGATGGCACATGCACCATTACCCTGGGTTCTCTTATGCAATCGGAGAATCTTCAGTATGAAGAAGCTGTTGAGGTCATGAAACGTTTCCGTGCAGAAGCTGAGCCTGAAGGTGGCCACTGGGAGTTGCCGAAGCTGCCCAAGGCCAAGCCTGCCAAGGCTTCCAAGAAGACGTCTGAGGGTTCTGCTGTTGCAGCGAGCGACACTACAAACCCGGAGGATGCCGAGCCTGCTTCTAAGTCTGCTCCCAAAAAGCGCAAAGCCAAGGATGCAGGGCACGATGACGATACAGCACCGAATGAGAACCCAAAGAAGGCTCAGGCCAAAGCCAAAGCTAAAGCGAAAGGTAAAGCCAAGGCAAAATCTGCGGCCCCACCCATGGATGATGCTCCTGAGCCTGAGGAATGCCCTGAGCCAGCCCCTCCCAAGAAAAAGAAGACAAAGCAGCCGGCTAAGGAGCCATCAGAAGCAAGCAGCGCAAAGCCAACGACGAACAGCAAGAAGCGAGCCAAGCAGGAAGAAGCAGCATCGGATCCAACCCCCGAGCCAACCCCCGAGCCAACCCCAGAGCCAGTGACAAGGAGCAAGAAAGTGAAGAAAACGAAGAAAGGTGGGAAGGCCAAAAAGTCTTCGAAACTTCGCAAGCTCCGGGCCAAGGAGCACCTCGGAGAAGAGGCTGAAGAGGAGCACCCCGAGGAACACGAGGAGGAGGAAACCGCCCCAACAGATAAGCCTGGCAACTTGGATGAGGAGGTCGAAGCAATGATCAGGGAAATCGATGAGCAAATGAGCGGGCCAGAAAAGGAGAAGGAGGAGGAGGAGGAGGAGGAGGAGGAGAAAGCTTCCCCGGCTCCCACCCGACCCGTGGTGAAGCACCGGCGCGTGGCTAAGGGACCTCCCACCGAGCCTCCTACGAGCCCCACCCCCAAAGCCAACTCCAAAGCGTGGCCCCACGATCGCCAACCCGAGAATGCTTCAGAGGCTGCCCTTCATGGTGGATGGTGTCTGGCCTAATATATTCTGTCTTTAGTGGCCTAGCCTACATAGAGTGCTAAATCGGCTTGGTTAAACTAGCAATATCCCTCGAACCCCCACTATCATGAAACCTTCAACCTTCAATTCAATACAATCCATATGTGTTGAGTACTGTACTGCATGCTTAAGCCCGCATTTAAAACCCAGGTCCTGCCTCTCTCTCGAGCTTGGGGAGAAGCAGATGGCATTGGAGAACACAGGCCCAGATTACGACGATACCGTCGTGAATGGGTCCTCGGTTTCTGAGATTCTGGAATCGTTACCTGACTGGATTGCTTGGGTATACTAGTTGCCGTGTTCCAACGTATGTCGGGATCCGCTCAGAGCTCGCTGCTATGTGATCTTAAGGTTGGGAGCTTCCGCTTCACAAGTCAGCAACAAGAATGCTGATTACAATCACATCTTGACCCTTGTGGGCCAACTCCAGCAGCAGCTGACCCGGCAGCAGGAACGTCGGGATGCTGATGCCAAGGCAGCCGATGATGCTGCTGCATTGGCAGCGATCGAGGACCAGAAGAGCGCCGAAGCCGAAGACCTCGATGGGGAGGTTGCTGAGGATCATGAGTTGGAGGCCCAGGCGGAGGCTGAGATGGTGGAGAATACTGAGAGTGAGGTTTCTTCTAAGAGGGATGCTGAGGCAAAGGAAGCAGCAGAGAAGGACGATGCAGATCCGCCCCAACGGGCTGTGGCCACCCCTGCTCGCAACTCTGCCCCGGCTGATCTGCTACAGAGGTTGCACTCATCAAGAGATTTGAACAAGCAAGCAGAAAATGCAACTGCTGCCCTGCCCTCTACCGCAGGATCCTCTGTGCCAGGCCCTTCAACAGCACCCTCCGGAACAGAATCGTCGGCGCCTCCAGCAGAAATTACCGTCAACTCCGCCACGCATAAGCGAGAGTATATGCGGCTGGTTCCTGGGCTGCAAACTATGATTCGGACTCGGACTGAATATGGGTTGATGTATGGAACATGTTTCATTCAACTAAGAAGCGACTTATCGACAATGGAACCGTATGCGCGACGGCTTACCCTTCCATGCACTCGCTTGCGAGTGGAACCAACAAGGAGTGCTTGCTATACGTTGCTATACATGCTACACGATTATTGGGCTCATGGGATCTTCCTGCCAGGATCGTGCCGAATTGCTCAAAAGATGGGTGTCAAGCGGGGAGAACCTATCATCATGTGAGCACGAGATTATCGCATCTCGGCGGGCCAACCTCCGATCCAAGCGCACGCTGACTCTTGTCAGCGTGAAGGACATGGGCAAACCCCCACATAACTTCAGCGAGCAGCTTGGATTGCAACTAAGGTGTACAATCTAGCAAGATACAGTATGCTCCACACACGATATACTCAATCAGGAAGAAGATAGCCTACATCATCGCCAATCAGCAAGGCATCGAGGCTCCTCAGCTGCAGATTAATTTCCTGATGATGTTGATGCCGCCTTCATTCCAGGACCGGGACTGTCCCGGAGTGGTCGAGGAGACCAAGTATTGGGTGACCACCGAGGAGAGCAAGACCGACACCGTGGACATTGGGTGGGGATCAGAACTCTATCATACTAGCATACGATTCTAGACCTGTACAGTACGATACCTGTAAGTCCTAGTTTGTATGTGCAGGCATGAGGAGCGGATGACTATGCATGCGACTCCCTCGAGTGCGAATGCCTACAACATTTTGGCTGGCCCTTCGACCCCAGGTATGCTGGAACGTCCAAGGACTACGAACCCTCAGCCTTTGTCGGGTGATGTTCTCCGAGCGTATGATTCCTACCGTGATAATTTGGCGGTTGCTGCTGGGGTGTCTGCAGGGGGTGATTCGGCTGCGCTATGAATTTCGAATGTAAAGTTGGTCTATGATATGGGTTTCTGAATTCTGCTGCGAGTCATGAAACCAAGGCAATCCGGGAGGCAATCCGGGTGCACGGTCCACGGCCGGATCTCGTCGTTCTGGCCGAGGGTCGTCGGCACCTTCGAAGCGGATCCCGCTGAACGAGGAGCACTTCCGAACCGATCAGGAAAAGCACGACAAGTGGAGCTTCTCACTTGCGTTCAGTGTCAATAACTGCCGATATATATATATATATATATATATATATATGTACATATATATATATATATATATATACATTGACCTAGACCATTTGCTTTAGCGAGTCCTGTCGAGGTGCGGAAATCAAGCGTGAGCTGGCTTCCCTGTCCAGCCTGCTCATCGATCTTCCCCAAGACGATGAGCTCACGCAAGACCTCGACAAGTACAACAAACGCTTGAAAGCTTTGGCTCTGAAGACTCCTGTTCGCATCTAGAACCCAACTATATGTAGCAGCTTGTGCATTCTGGCATCCTAGGTTCAAGACTGCCGCGACAAATGCGGAGATGGAGCCGATCTGTGCGACTGTCTGGGCTGTGGTGACTAGGCCTGCAATTATACTTTGTGTGGAAACCTTTTGATGCGCTTGTAACCTAGGTCACGGACCTAAAGATCCTCAAAGGCAAAGCCAAGGGGCTTATCAGTGAGCTGAAGAAGAGGTAAATGCAAGTTGGATGCCGATCTTATTATCTAGAGTTTGGGGCTTCGTATTTGTTTGTACATTAGATAAAGAGATCAGTAGGGCTTCTTGAACTTCTAGATCAACAAGTGAGCATCCAAGCCTGCAGAGGGGTCTACTCTTGCCGAGATGTCAAGAGCCACATTCGGAACACGGGATGGCTTGACCTATCCGTGCCAGCACCATGCAAATGTCTGGTGCCTTTTGTTTGGCTTCGGCTCACGATCAGCACATGGTCTTGTGCTTCAGTTCCTACCTGAGATTCAACCAGGAATGCTACAGCTGTAGTGCTGGACGGGGAATGTGCCGGCGCGAGGAGCTAAAATACTTACGTCGAGAGCTGCAGCCAACACCGAACTAAAACCCTAAATCCTACCCCGACCCCAATCCCTTCGCAGGCTCGGAGCTCGCTGCGTCGACAGCTGGCCGGCTGGACTCGAAGAGCCTCACTCGGTTCAGCATTTATGGCTTTGGGATTTAAGTTTGGTATTCGCAGATTGCATGGTGCTTTGGTTTTGGGTGTCGGGTTGTGAGGCTACGGGATTCCAAACTTCAAAACAGTGTTAAGTGTCCCTAATCCAACTGAACCCCGAACCTAAACTCGACCCCAAGCCCAGCCTTAAGTCATTCAATATAAACCCTAAAGCTCAAACCTAAACCCCAAACCCTCGCACCGAAACTCCATGCACCAGCACAGGATTGCTGAAGCTGTCTGTGTGGGCCAATCGTCGATCAGTTTGGCGTGTGAGCTGGGTGATTTGACTCATATTATCATTTCGCTCTTTTCTATTTAACTGTTCGGGTGAAGATGGGGATCCTTTAAGGAAGTGCCATCAACATGTTGCTGAGGTGATATCTATGGTAGCCACACTCTTGCTGGACACGAAACGAGGTCATTACGAGAAACGGAATTCCACCGGCGGTTACAAGCCACTGGAAGTGCTCATCCCTTTGCCATCTCATGGAGGAATATACCGATTGTGGAAGAGTCGCAGTCAACTGGAGAGGATATCATGGAGGTTAAGCCCTGGCCTGTCATCCTCCTAAGTAGCATAGCTGCTTGACATTAATAGTCATCGAATGTCATAGCATGTTCAGTTCGTTTTGAAGTGTTATCCACCTATAAGTATATTGTTGTTGGTTTTCACAAAGGCAAAGACACTGCTATCCACTGGTTATGGTGATTTCCTGGGACCCCGCGAGCTTCTGAATGCATACTGGGAACAAATGGCCGAGAAGCTGGAGATCATGCCGCCTCGATCTCGATGGGGTACCACCATTCCTTATTGTCTTTGGGGCGATGAGGGTACTCTGAAGAATTCGGCTTCGTGGATGTTTGGGACGGTGTGCCCTGTCGTTACCAAGTTTTTCCGGGAAGCTAGAATCCTTTATTTATAAAGTAGGGTTGCGGTGATAGGGTTATTAGGGCTACAAAATGCTAAGGATGTTCGACCTATCACCGTGCCGAACCAACAGCAGGGCCTCGAGATATCTTATGTATTCTCTCCCGGTGAAGCAGTACTATTTCGATGACGACCATACCAATGTCACGTTGCAGTGTATGCTGGAAGAAATCGTTGCCGACCTCAATGAGCTGTCTTCGTCCGGATTGAAGGTTGATGGGGAGGCCTGTCTCAAGCACACTAGACCCCAAGTCCCAAATCCCAACATTGTTTAAAGCCATAGATTCTCTTTTACCTAGTTTGGTGATTGCTTCGAACAGGTCCTACACTTCCATTGTGTGTCGTTCAAGGGCGACCTGAAATATCTTGTGCAAGCCCTGAACTTGGTACGGCATGCTGGAAAGGAAGAGGCCGAACTCCGTCTAAAGAAGGCTTATGGTTTGTTAGGTGTAGAGGGGTAGGTACCGTAGTAGGGCATTATTTTTGTTCTTAAGTCGGGACCCTATGCAGATTTGCTTCCGGTGCGCGGCTTCTAAAGGGAATGATGATTTCCAATGTGTATACACAGACATCAGTGAAGCTGCACAATGGCGACATGAGATTGTGGGTCCCATGTGGACCACCCCACCTTCCATGGCTGCATTACATGAGTTCAACGAGGATCTGATTGCGTTCGATCTATTGCATATAGTACATCTTGGAGTCATGCGAGATTTGACGGGCACCGGTTTTAAACTGATGTGTCGGAACCGCGACTACTATCCCGGCAGCTCCATTGAGAAGCGCCTTCGCCAACTTACTTCAGATCTCAAGCTATGGTGCAAAGCCAATGGACAAACTTTGAGCTTGAAAAAAGTACACAAAAATACACTAGTCTGGAGAGGAGACATGTGCCCGGAACTGCGCGTCAAGGGGGCTGACTGCCTAGTATGCCTCAGATTTTTGAGTTGCAAGCTCCAGCAGCAACCACCCAGCAGCTATCCGGGCATTGTGGCTTGCGTCTGGTTTCTTGAACGATTTATTGGCTGCCTGTCGCACGGCTCTATATTCTTGACACCAGACGAGAGTGAAACCGCCTACATTACCGGTATGATGTTCATTCGTTCGTATCTGGCCCTGGCACAGGAAAGCTTGATGGCATCCGAATTATTTTTCAAAACCCGACCCAAGCTGCACTTTCTCTTACATTTGGCGGAGGATTTGAAGTCCAAAACCTGTGTGAGGAACCCTTTCTACGATTCGACGTTTGTCGATGAAGATTGGGTCAAGCATGCACTTGCTCTGAAGAAACGAATGTCATTCAGGACCTGCTCCCTGAACATCCTGAAACGGTTTGCTGTGATGAACAAAGCCTCGCTGAATGCCCTGCTTGAAAAAATCGGCCGAGTCTCGAGGTCGCAGCTGCCGCCGGGTCCGGCTGTTGCTTGTGGAGAGAGTGGGAGAGCCGGGGAGTTTGGTGCTTTAAACCCGAAGCCCTTCTTTCCCCTACACTTATTATGAGCTCTGCCCGTACTTGTAATCTTGAGACCTTCAGAGTTTGCAGGTGGCTTGTGTTTCAGAGTTCTGGGTTTTGGCAACCCCAGTATAAGTCTTAAGGCCTAAACCTTGACCCCCGAACCCTAAACATGTGGACCTTCAGCATGATGTCTGCATATTTTAAGAAAACTAAACCATTCATCACATAGCCTCTACAGTCGGCGGAAGGTTTTTGCAAAGCTAAGTGAATGCCCTCTAATCGTGAGTAAATTCTTTCTATATGTAGGCCTGCTCGTACTTCCTGAGTTACGACTATATATGAACAAAGTGTACACATGCACACCCACACCCACCCACACACATGACTCCCTGTGTCTCTCTCTCTCTCTCTGTTTCTCTCTCTCTCTCTCTCTCGATCTCTCTTTCAATCTTCATATATATATATATATACATGTATATATGCATATATATATATGCCTATATATATCTACCACGACATATACCTACCTGCCTATACATATACCTAGCTACCGTGTATCTATCTACCTACTTCCTAACCGCTAGCCAACTGCAGCCTGCCCTGCCCAATCTGCTTAATTCCCGATGTATACCCACCTATACTGTATGGAATACCTACACACCCAACATATCTAACTGGTTAACTACATACATACATGTGTCTTAAGGGAGGTTACCTTTGTTTTTTCCTTTTTAACAGGCTCAAGACGGCTCAAGCTTGCTCATGGCAAGCAAAGGTGGTATGCTTGGTCAAATCTGCTTGCAGGCTTGTCTGCATCTTCACTGGCAGAACCTGTCAGTAAGAGCTGTTTTTGATACCCCAAAAAGGCCATGTTGCTTATATATTTCAATGCTGGATATAAATGATGCAAAAAGCAAGATCGCAGCCGTTTAAGTCACATATGGTCTTCCAGGAGGTGGCTTGCCAAACAGCACCCTGGGCCACCAAAGGTCTCACTTGTGCCGCCGGGGAGAGATTGGTCCACATCTCGCAACCAGTGTTCAGGCAGGTCCCGTCTTCCAGCAACAAATAGGACCGTCGTAGCGGTACATCATGTGGGCCGGCATGTGGCTGTGGTTTCTTGATCGAGGCGTCGCGCTTGCGTTGAAGCCAGTACCAAGGTGACGTCGGCTTCTCCAGCTTCCTGTGCTTTCCAGGCTGTTCCCAGGTCGGAGTCGAGGTTGATCTTGACCCAGGTTGCAGCCGGGCTCTGCTGAAGGTAATGTCGGGTGCCGTTCAAGAGGGCCTTGGTGTCTTCGTGTTCCACCTCGGTCCAGAAGCCCCTCTGGAGCTGGCCGGTCCTTTGGCGCCGCCGTCGAAAAACCCTGTCATCTCGAGATTCCTGTGCTTGTTGTGGTTCAGGTGGTGTTTCTTGTGCTGTGGCTTCTTGACCGGGGTAGTCATCGAAAAGCTCTGGAAACGGATCTGCTGATGAAGGTGAACCCACAGGTAACGAAGGCGAGTAACCCTGGGCCTCGTCTTCGTACACGGCAGAGTCATACGGCATAGCTGAAATATCTAAATGGACCCTGTCATCTCGGGATTCCTGCGCTTGTTGTGAAGGTGGTGCTTCTTGTGCTGGGCCCCCGCCTTGCTCTACGAGGAACTCGGTCTCGCCGGTCCAGAGGAAGTCCATATCTATGCGGCGATGGTGCCACGAAGCCTGGCGCCAGTCATCTTCGTGCTCCCGGCGAGTGCCGTCTTGTAGCAGCATCCGTGTCCTCCTTCGGCCGCGGATGAGCTTGCGTCGCAGGACCCGGTGTACTCGGATCAAGCGGCTATCGTCTTCAAACCGCCATTCGTCCTCCCAGGGCTCCTCCATATCTTCATCTCCAGAGTCCAGGTCCATATCCTCGCCC